GTTGTGTGTTTTGGGGGTGGGGGGTCCCCTATCATGGGATTGCAGGGAGTTTTTCATTGCCATACCTAAGAGTTTATCAGAGATCCCTATGCTGCAGAAACACATGGGGGGTTGATTTACTAAAGGCAAATAGACTGTGCACTTTACAGGTGCAATTGCACTCATTTTCTGCACAGCTTAGTAAATGCGATAAAGATCTATGGATTTCCAGCATCCAATCACGTGCAAGCAAAAATACTGTTTTGTTTTGTTTTTGTTTTCTTTCCTTGTATGTGTTTGAGTATTCTTTACAAAGTGAGGCTTACCACATTTACTAAGGAAAATGAGTGAACTGCACTTGCAGAATGCACAGTCTGTTTACCACCCATACGGTCTGTCATTTTGTTGCATGTGTAGTCATGTCTGTCCTCGCACTCAGGGTTAGATTCATGTGAGATTAATAACCCCTTGTTGACAAATGCCCGATGCCCTGACCAATTACAGTGTGCTACAGATGAGGCTGTTGTCAGCAAGGGGTTAATTAGAAAGCGATTAAAAATCTCCTCTGTGTGTGAATACAATGTGGATTGTGCTGGTATAATGTGACTCGGATTTCTTCAGTTCTTGTCAGACTTTGGAATTTGTTCAGCTCACATTTCACCCAGTCATAGCCGTGTTAGAGATAGGAATTACACAAAAGCGTATCTGTGCCAAGGGGGCCTGTGCATTATAGATCTATATGGCGTGTCGGCCTGAACATTATGTATCTATATGGGAGGGGCTGCCTGTAAATTATAGATGGATATGGGTGGCCTGTAAATTATAGGACTATATGGGAGGGCTGTCTGTATATTATACAGGGGTTACATCAAGGGTCTCCAAACTTTCTAAACAAAGAGCCAGAATGAGTCAGAGAGGGCCAGAGAGTCAGACTTTAGGGGGGCCAGACTGTGGCCAGTGGGAAAAAACAATGTTCAATCGTTGGTGTCATTGGGAGGACTAGTCACTAATCTCATTGGTCCCCATTGTTGGTGTCATTGGTAGAAATTGTGCCCCATTGTTGGTGTCATTAGGAGGAATTGTGTCCTATCTTTGGTGTCACTGGGCACCATTTTTCGTGTCATTGGGAGCAATTGTGCCCCTTCATTGATGTCAGTGGGGGGAATTATGCCCCACTGTTGGTATCAGTGGATGAAACAGTCCCCCAAGGGCCAGAAAAAAAGCAAGCAAAGGGCCACATCTGGTCCCAGTTTCGAGACCACTGGGTTAGATGAACAAAAATGGAAACACTACATGATTTGTAGGTGTGAAAGTGACAACATGCTTGAAACCCAACATGATGTAACATTCTTTTGCTTCCACTGTGTGATGAGACACCTAGCTAACAGGTGGGAAGCCTCACTTTCATCACTCACTGCATGCACTGCTAGTAATACAGAGTCATGTCAGAGCTTACTGAGCTTCAAAGAGGGCAAACTGTTGATGCCGCTTAACTGGTGTCTCTGTGACTGAAGTTGCCAATTTTTGTCGTTTTGCGAGGTACAGTGTCAAATATTATGACGGCATATACAGTTTCTGGGAAAAGGTGTCTAACAGGGGGGTAGGAGGGGTATGCTTTCTTCATATTTTATCTCTGAGGTTTTATAACCACTTTAAAGATCCTCTCTGTAGATCTATACGGGATGAGCTATGTGTACATTATATTGTTCTACTGTATATATGGGAAGAGCTGCTTGTACAATATAGATCTATACAGGAAAGGTTGCCTATACATTGTAGATCTATATGAGAGGGTCTGTCTGCCCATGAAAGATCTATATGGGGAAAGGAGGAGATGACTATTATAGATCTATATGGGAGGGACAGTCTGTACATCATAGATCCTCTCTATAGATCTACTGTATATGGGAAGAGCTGCTTGTACAATATAGATCTATACAGGAAAGGTTGCCTATACATTGTAGATCTATATGAGAGGGTCTGTCTGCCCATGAAAGATCTATATGGGAAAGGAGGAGATGTCTATTATAGATCTATATGGGAGGGACAGTCTGTACATCATAGATCCTCTCTATAGATCTACAGTATATGGGAGGGGCTGCCTGTACATTATAGATCTATATGGGAGAGCATTCTGTAAACCAGTGGTCTCCAAACTGTGGCCCAAGGGCCAGATGTGGCCCTTTGCTTGCCCTTATCCGGCCCTTGGGGACTATTCCTCCATCAACAGTGGAGCATAATTTATGCCACAGACACAAATGATGGAGCACTATTCCTCCCACTAATATTAATGATGCAACAGTATTCCTCTCACTGAAACCAACAATGGGGCACTATTCCTCCCACTGGCTCCAACAATGGGGCACTAGGTCTTCAATTGATACCAATGATGGAGCGTTACTCCTCCTTCTATTGACCACCAACCCTAAGGTAATGTTTATTCTCATTGATGCTGGGTCACGGACATTTTCTAACCCCATTGGCCACATTCCGGCCCCCTGACAGTCTGAAGGACAGTAAACTGGCCCTTTGTTTGAAAAGTTTGGAGACCTCTGCTGTAAACTGTAGATCTGCTCTATAAAAATATAAGTGCATATAAAGTCTAGAGGCCAGTTCTGCTCTGTACAGTGTAGGTTCTCTCTATATGGAGGCTATAAAAGCCAAATCTGCACATGTACATTACGGGTTCTCTGAAAAAGTCTTTACAGAGGGATATATCCGCAATATTCTCCTAGAAAATGGATGCTCTGTATATCAGTATAAGATACAGTTACTTTTGGGCAATACATGAGCAGTATGTACTATATCCTTCTGAGCCCATTATAAACAACAGGAGAGAGTAAACTACAAATGAACAGCCTAGGCTCCTAACGCATAGGTCCTAACGGCTCCTCTGTCCCTACAATAAATTGGGACAGAGCCATCAAAGGCTACAGAAGATTTTAAAGTATAACTAAAGGCATTTTTTGTTATGGATAGAGTGGAGAGGGATTAAATTATATGTCAGGTTTGGGTCGCCATCACAGAGATTTCTCCTCTCAATTTGTTCTATTTACCATTTTTGGAAAGTGTGAAAGTAAAATATCAACATTTTGAGCTTTAACAGAAATAGAGGGGAAATCGTTCAATGGGGACACTAGTTCTGGTGACCCCGGTGACACCCATGGATTCCCTCACTTCCTTTTTTGGCTATGGGACAGGAATTGCAAGGCAATATCCCCAGTAGGACACAGGAGTTATAACCCTCCCTTACTGTATCCAAAATGGAAAAAAAAAGGTTTTTCCTTTAGTTTTACTTTAAGGAGGCTTCTTTTTAATGTGGAGTTGGCCTACATTTTTGAACTGAAAGGGATCCCTGGTTGGTGGGTAGGTCTAACATATGACACAGCGTAGTGTGCTTTTGGTAAAAGTGAACTAACCCTTTAGCTGATCAAGCTCAAGATAAAAGCTGACTGGTTACAATACACAATTGTTCCAGATTCTGTCTGCTCCAGCTTAGTAAATTACCCCAAAAGTGTTGAATTACTCAAAAAAAAAAAAAGCCTAATTTAACCAAAAATTATGAACAGAAACACAAATTGGGTCAACCTGTCTGTTTTTCCGATGGACCCAATCAGACCATTCATTGCTTTCTATGGAGCACTGGATGTAAACGGACATGCATCCGTTTACACCTGCCTGCATTCGGTCATCTAAAAGCAGATAGATGAATGAGGGATCTAATGGATCGGATCAGATGACAGTTGGATGTAAACGGACAAGTGGTCTGGATGTAAACAAACAGGAGGAAAGCGGGCTGTGTCCATGGACCTGTCATCCGCCTGCTCATCAGGGGTCAGTGGACAGATGCCTTGCTGAGCAGGCGCATCCACTGGCAGAATCCGCCCCCGAAATGAAAGGGGCATTAGTGTGACTTATCTTGGCCCTTCAAAGACAAAAGGTCCATCTCTTGACCTTCTCTTCATATGTTGTTTGTCTGTCTCCCTACCAACCTGAAATTAGCCTCCCTTTTCCAATGTTCAGCTGAGGAAGTAACTATGAGTACACAAACAGCTTGGAAGGTCACTCTCTACAAAGAGCAGGGAAAGATTTATCCTACAGTAATTCAGAAAGTTTCTTGAGCCATCAATGAAAAACTAAGGTCTCCCCTCCGCACTGGATACTGGATACTTTTAAACATGCTCCAGCTTTGTCTGATCCATCTCATTTATCTTGGACTTCCACAACTATAAAATCTATCTTGAATCTCCTGGACTATATTTGGGGTCTCTGGTGTGCTGACTATATAGTAGCAATAAGGAAGATCTTAGCAAACGCAAACATGTTTGTCTTATGTAATTTAAGAAGAGTACCCCAAGATAATAGGCACGCCTTCCTCTTCATAATATCTCTAAAACAAAATATTATTTATATCTAAGTTAAGAAATTTTATTTCAGGAAAAACCCACAAGTCAACTAGCAGGAACATTGAGTGTTTTTTTTTAACATACTGTTTGGTATCATACACAAAAACTATGGGATTTTTTGGAAAAAACTAAACATTTTTCTGTCCGTTCTCACTTTCCCCTCCACTTTCTCCTTTACACACTTCATTTTAGCTAAGTTGTTTACTCTTAATTCCTGCCAGGGGGGAGTGCAGGGTTAACTACTTACATAAAAAAAATACTATTAATTATGAACTATTTAATGTTAAATGTATTTAGGAAGCACTCAGTACTTTTTCCTGCGTTATCATTCACTGATAACCCCCTTCCCACAGCTCCAAATAAATGGCAGGATATTCTAAACACAGCAACTAGGAATGATGGGTCCCATATGGGAACTCTTGGGAGAAGACCTCCAGGATTCACCATTTTTAATACCATCTGATGTCACTCAGTAGTGCAAAATGTAACAATGACCTGAATGAGCCTTTAGAACTATTGTTTCCAACAAGAACATGGACACCAGGAAATGTAATAGGCTTTATATAGAATATGAAAGTCTGATAGTTTATTCCTCTCTTATTATCTGCAGACAAGATGTCCATCTTAAAGGAATTTGGTGACAGTGAGGTGTTCAGGGCTTTCGCTACATATGTTGCAGTTGTCCTCCTGAAAATGATGCTAATGAGTGTTTTCACCTCCTACTACAGGATTACACGCAAAGTAAGTGGCTCTAATATTGCATACTTGTGACATAAATATACAGGGTATTTAATACTGTGGGGAACATCAGATTGTGTCACTGAGTCTCACTATGATTTGAATCAAACCAATTTTTAACAATTTATGAACTAGTAGAAAGTGACATCATATAAAGAGAGAAGTGACTCTCACCCTGCTCTCATCCCTTGTGTGTGTGTAGGTCTTTGCAAATCCAGAGGATGCTGCTGCTCATGCCAAGGGAGGAGATCTGAAGAAATTTATCAGAACAGATGAAAGTGTGGAGCGAGTACGCAGGTAATGCAACCATCTCCAGTGTCAGTAGATCAGGTGCTGTCAATTCGTTACATCAATATCTATCCTGCTGGCAGGATGAGCAACTCAGTCCTTGCTGCACTAAGAATCCTTCTCTGCTCCTCAGCTACGACATTTATGTCACCACCTCCAATTGGTCAGTGCTTATTATCGATTGAATAATGAAGGTCTGTATTTCACAGGTGAAAGAAGGAGAACCCAGCCCTCTACACTGAACTGAACCACCACAAATGGCTCAAATAAGAGAATGGCAATTTCACCACTGGCCATTGCACAGAATGGTGCCATCTTCACTGAGTGGTCACAGAATATAGCCACCCCCACTAACCATTCCACAAGCCCTCAGTCCTCAAAATGATGTCACCTCATCTTACCAGTCCATGGAATAGAGCTACCCCCACTGTCCGGTCCTCAGACAGGTGCCAATTATCTCTGACCAGGTCACAGATTGGTACAACCCCCACTAATTAATATATAGAATTGTATATGTACTCACACCACCACAAAATAGAACTACCTCCACTGAATGGTCTGTAGAATAGAGCCACCCACACTGACCAGTCCTCATAGTGGTGCCAGCTCCATTGACCAGTCCACAGAATAGTGCCACTCCCTTTGACCAGGATCAGAATGGAAACATACCAATTGACTAATATACATAATGTAATTTTCCCCACTGGCCATTACAGAGAATAGTGTAATTCCTGCTGACCAGTACACAGAATGGAGCTACCTCTCTCTGAATGGTTATTAGAATGGAGCCACACCTAGTGACTAATGAACAGAATGGAACTTTCCCCACTGGCCATTACACAGCATGGAGATTCCTCCCCTGAGTGATCTACAGATTAGAGCTACCTGACAAGTCCACAGAATGTTGTCACCCCCACTAACCAGGCCAGAGAATGGATCCACTCCAACTAATATACAGAAATAAACTTTCCACATTGGTCATTACACAGAATGGTGCTATCCCCACTGACCAATATACAGAACAGAGACACCTCCACGATATGGTCAACAGAAAAGAGCCCCCCCCACTGACCAGTCATAGATTGGAGCCATCCCCACTGAATGATCTATAGATTAGAGCTACCTCCAGTGAGAAGTCCACAGAAAAATGCCACCCCCAGTAACCAGTCCAAAGAATGAAACCATCTCCACCGAAAGATAAACAGAAATAAACTTTCCCCATTGGTCTTTATACAGAATGGTGCTATTCCCACTGACTGACAATGGTGCTATCCCCACTGACAATCTACAGAACAGGAGAAACCTCCACTATATGGTCTAAAGAAAAGAGTCACCCCCACTGACCAGTCCCAGAATGGAGCCACCTCCACTGAATGATTTACAGATTAGTGCTACCTCCAAGTGACAAGTCCACAGAATGGTGCTATTCTCACTGACCATTCTACAGTATGGAGCCACCTCCACTATATAGTCAACAGAAAAGAGTCACACCCCCACTGACCAGACATAGCATGGAGCAAGGGCGGACTGGCAGCTCATGGGGACCCTGGGCAATAAGAGATAATGGAGCCCCCTGTGTCTCCACCTATACTAAAGCCAAAGCCACACCCACACAACACCCCACCTACATATTGCAGCTCAGATGCATAAAAAGGGCATTAAAAATAATGTAAAAAATAATAAAACAAGTTGTGTGGTCCCCCTCCATTCATTCCAAGCCCTTCAGGTCTGGTATGGGTTTTGAGGGGAACCAACACGCTACAATTAAGAAAAAATGGCGTGGGATCCCCCCAAGATCTATACCAGACTCTTATCCGAGCATGGTCTGGATAAAAGCGCACAGATGTGTCCCAAAGGAAATAAGTGAATGGTATATGTCAACTATGATTGGTGGGGAAAAAACTCACTGCTGCCATGGTAAAAACACATCGGTTTGTGGGAGGTATGAACAGGAGCCAGGCGCTGTGTAGTTTTGTGATAGAAATAATACACCTTGTATGGAGGTGTGTCTTTAATAAGTCATATGGTAAAACAATAATAAATAACCAGCCTGTGGCTTTAGGAAGCCAGGTTCCAAGATGGACGGCCCGTCCACTCAGAGGGAAGCAGTGGAGTAGAATGCCTGTCAGTGCAGGGACCACGTTTACCCGACGTCCCAGCGTCCTGGATGACGTCAACACGATGTGGAGAGACAGAGGGGGGGAACTCTTGCTGGAGCCGCAGCTTTAGAAGGAAGAGGCCGGTTGCTGGGACAACATGTTTCGCGCGCATGCGCTTTGTCAAGTCCTTGACAAAGCGCATGCGCGCGAAACATGTTGTCCCAGCAACCGGCCTCTTCCTTCTAAAGCTGCGGCTCCAGCAAGAGTTCCCTCCCTCTGTCTCTCCACATCGTGGTGACGTCATCCAGGACGCTGGGACATCGGGTAAACGTGGTCCCTGCACTGACAGGCATTCTACTCCACTGCTTCCCTCTGAGCGGACGGGCCGTCCATCTTGGAACCTGGCTTCCTAAAGCCACAGGCTGGTTATTTATTATTGTTTTACCATATGACTTATTAAAGACACACCTCCATACAAGGTGTATTATTTCTATCACAAAACTACACAGCCCCTGGCTCCTGTTCATACTTCTTATCCGAGCATGCAGCCCGGAAGGTCAGCAAAGGGGGGGCCGAGCGAGCCCCCCCCTCCTGAACCATACCAGGCCACATGCCCTCAACATGGGGGTGCTTTGAGGGGTCCCCCCCCCCAAAGGCACCTTGTCCCCATGTTGATGGGGACAAGGGCCTCTTCCCCACAACCCTGGCCTGTGGTTGTCGGGGTCTTCGAGCAGGGGGCTTGTCGGAATATGGAATCCCCCTTTAGCAAGGGGACCCCCAGATCCCACCCTCCCCTATGTGAATGAGTATGGGATACATGGTACCACTACCCATTCACAAAAAAAGTAGGACACTCAACGTTACGGGTGCTTTATTCTTCCAAATCAAATACACTTTTGCACACTGGTACTGACTAGTATGCCAGTGTTTCTCTTCTCCCTAAGTTTTTTTCTCCATCACTCAGCAAATGTGACCCCAGTGCTGACAGAGGGGCAAACAAGGATGCTGTGCAGTCGATCAATATCCTCCTTATTGACTGATAATGTCATTGGTTGTCAGGATGCCGGTGGCTAGAAGGTTCTAATGGTACACAATGAAAACCCGTGGCTTGGTGTAACTAAAAGGCAGACTTGATCCACCTCTGGCTTTTATATAATTTGTAGGCAATATTTAGGCAATTTGCCAAGGCACCCCTGAAAAAAACTTCTAGGCACCCCAGGGTGCCTAGACACCCTGGTTGAAAAAGGCTGGTTTACAGAATAGATCCACCCACCACTGACCAGTCCACAATAAGGTGCTATGCCCAAGAATCAGTCCACACAATGGAGCCATCCCCACTGACCATTTCTGAGAATTGTGCCACTCCCACTGTACTCGCCTCAGAATGGTGCCACCCTCACTTACTAGTCCACAGAATGGTACCATTCCCATTAGGGAAAATGGAGGATTTGTACTCTCATATGAAATGCAACCTTTTATGAATCCATATTTGATTGTTATAGAATATATAGATGATATCTTCTTGTATTATTATGAACCCATGTAAAAGAGATGCAGTTCCTTAAAGTGTCACTAAACCCACAACAGTAAAAACAGTCTATATTTGCAATAAAGCATGCTTGATATACTCACTGTGAAACCTAAGGGGTTAATCCTCTGCATTGTGTAAAAAGGCTGTTTGATCCTGACTTCTCTGATCCTCCCCTTCTTCCAGTGCACCCCTCTTATCTCCTGATAAGACATATCATGTGGAGTCACTCTGCACATGCTCAGTTTGGTGTGTATTGCTAGAGAGGCTTTTTTTGTTTTTTTTTTCATGGGAGAGTGCATGTGATAAGAACAGGGCCAATCAGCACTGTCCAGACAGAGGGTCAAGGGCCCTGCAGCCTCATAAAGCAGAAAGAAAACCCCTCCTTTAACCAGTACTCTGCTGAACACTGATAGAAGTCACAAGACTGTTATACACAGCTAATGAGAAAATGTATTTATTAGTTTATATTTATTAAAATAATTGCATTTCCACGTTCTGTGTACTGTGGGAGACCAGATATAGTGAATGCGGGGTCCTGGGTTTAGTAACACTTTAAAGCATTGTGTGCAGTCATTGTCCAGTGATTTATACACAAAATGTTACATTGTTTCAATGGTACGCAGTCAGAGTGGATGAGTCAGATAAAAGTAGATATTTTGTCCAATTTATTTAGCTTCTTCCAGATCTTCGTACAGTAGTTGTTGGTGGTCCCTCCACAATAAAAGCAGTGCATTTTCAACATTTATAGGAAGTAGCTTTTTGAGCTTTGCTCCCAGTTTACTTGCAAAAGGTGTAAAAATATTACAGCCGCTAAGCAGGTTATATGGGCGACGTCAACATTTATTTGAAAAGACATTACAGTGTGTTGGCGGCTATTCTTTCATTGTGACAGCGGAGAATGGAAAAGCTGCGTCCAGTTTATCACGCAGTGTGCGTCCCAAAATATCACAAATCCTACAGAGCTCCTCGCCATAACATCATATCGATTTATCCATCACATTGTATAGATTACCAAATATCTGGGGAAAATGACGCTTTATTGGTGTGAACTTAAATCTAGCTTTTCCAGGGCTGTGACAGCTTTTCCTTTTGTGTTCACAGGTGTCATCTGAACGACATTGAGAACATTATACCGTTTGTGGGACTTGGTCTGGTCTATGTGCTCAGTAATCCCGAATTATCGACTGCACTTTTACATTTCCGCATCTTTGCCGGTTCTCGCATTCTGCACACAATCTCCTATCTAACGCCACTGCCACAGCCAAGCCGAGCACTGACCTTCTTCATCGGATTTCTTGTCAATGCTTCCATGGCATATGCAATTCTGAGTACCATCTCTTATTTTTAAAGCTGACCCCATATTGGTACACATACAGAATTCATGGTTGTTTCTTTTCTATTAGGTTCTTTTGTCTGTATGGGAAAAAAATAAATCTTTGAGATTCTTTCCATGGCTCTCTATATATTTTGTCATTATTACAATTATAGGAAAACATATACAGCTCAGGCAATATACACCTAAATCTTTGTGAGACACCGTAACATCAAAACAATCCTGAGACAGAATCACATGACATCTTATAAGTGACAGCCCTCTTTTCCACTGGTTAACAAGAAGATCTCTAGTTGCAATTGAACACGTCGCATAATTGCTCCTGTATTTGAAGGGCCACCATCCAATCCCTGTCTTTTGTAGAACCACAATTCCCAACATGCCCTGTTGGTGACCGCATGTATAGGTTTGCTGATAGGGCATGCTGGGAATTGTAGTTCTACAAAAGACAGAGATTGGACGGCAGCCCTTAAAATATAGATTCAGAATATGTCTTTAGGTTAAGTAATGTTTCCAAGTAAGGGACTAGTCAGGCTTCTGTCTGGAATGTTTAGTGAAATAATGTTCTCTGGGAGTTTATTTCATTTCTCCTCTCACTGACATATTTCTCTTAAAGATTGCGTATTGCTTCCTTTATTAGAGATTTTGTCAGATGGGAAGGTGTGGCAGGGGGTTTGCTGAGTCCTGGACCTTGGTGGTGAGGGTTGTGGCAAGGTGTCTGAGCCTCCATGGTAAGAGTTATAGCACGATGCACAGTGTATCCTTAGTCTCTGTAGTGAGTTTTGGCAAGGTGCATGGTGTGTCCTGGGTCTCAGTGATGAGTTGGGACAGGGTGCATGGTGTATCCTAGGTCTCAGTAATGAGTTGGGACAGGGTGCATGGTGTGTCCTGGGTCTCAGTGATGAGTTGGGGCAGGGTGCATGGCGTATCCTAGGTCTCAGTGATGAGTTGGGACAGGGTGCATGGTGTATCCTAGGTCTCAGTAATGAGTTGGGACAGGGTGCATGGTGTGTCCTGGGTCTCAGTGATGAGTTGGGGCAGGGTGCATGGCGTGTCCTAGGTCTCAGCGATGAGTTGGGGCAGGGTGCATGGTGTGTCCTGGGTCTCAGTGGTGAGTTGGGACAGGGTGCATGGCGTATCCTAGGTCTCAGTGATGAGTTGGGGCAGGGTGCATGGTGTATCCTAGGTCTCAGTGATGAGTTGGGGCAGGGTGCATGGCGTGTCCTGGGTCTCAGTGATGAGTTGGGGCAGGGTGCATGGTGTGTCCTGGGTCTCAGTGATGAGTTGGGGCAGGGTGCATGGCGTGTCCTAGGTCTCAGTGATGAGTTGGGGCAGGGTGCATGGTGTGTCCTGGGTCTCAGTGATGAGTTGGGACAGGGTGCATGGCGTATCCTAGGTCTCAGTGATGAGTTGGGGCAGGGTGCATGGTGTGTCCTAGGTCTCAGTGATGAGTTGGGGCAGGGTGCATGGCGTGTCCTGGGTCTCAGTGATGAGTTGGGGCAGGGTGCATGGTGTGTCCTGGGTCTCAGTGATGAGTTGGGGCAGGGTGCATGGTGTATCCTAGGTCTCAGTGATGAGTTGGGGCAGGGTGCATGGTGTGTCCTGGGTCTCAGTGATGAGTTGGGGCAGGGTGCATGGTGTGTCCTAGGTCTCAGTGATGAGTTGGGGCAGGGTGCATGGTGTGTCCTGGGTCTCAGTGATGAGTTGGGGCAGGGTGCATGGTGTGCTCGGGCTTTCTTTTTTCTTCTCTTTTTTTTTTCCTTTTTTTTCCCCTCTTTCTTTCTCTTTTCCCCAAATTTTCTTTATTGGCAGGACAAAATACATTTTACAGTTGGCAAAGCAATTTTTCTTAATTTTTTTTTTTTTTCTTTTTTTTTTCATTTTTTTTTTTTTTTTTTACTATAAAGAGGGTATTTTTTTTTTTTTTTTTTTTTCCAGAGAAATTTCATTTTTTCCTTGGGATAATTTTTTTTTTTTTTTGAGTCCAGGATTTTTTTTTTTTTCTTTAATTTTAAAGAGGGAATGAGGTGAGTCCAGGGATTTTTCCCTTATTAGGGGTAAGGGATTTTTTTAATTTTTTCTTTTTAGGTTTTCTTTTTTTTCATCAGGATAAGGGATTTTTTTTTTTAATTTTTAATAATAACAACAATAATAGGGGACTAGGGGTGAGTTTTCATGTAGGGGATTTATAAGTTCAGGATTCCCTCTCAGTCTTTTTTTTCCTTTTCTTTAATTTTCTTTGCAGCTACTTTTTTTCTTAGCAGGAAGTGGGCCTCATTTCCAGGAATCTTCTTTTTTTTTTTGGCAAAGTTTGCCTTTCTTTTTTTCTTTTATCTTTTTTTTCCTGTTTTTCCTTTTTTTTTCTTTCCAGGCTGTGTATTTCAGTCTTACAGGCTCTCACGGTTTTTTTTTTTTTTTTTCTTGTAGCATTTTTCCAGTTTTTTCTCTAGTTTTAGTCTCTTTCTGACTTTCTCAAGTTTTTTTTTTTGCAAAGTTTTTTTTTTTTTTCATTTTTTTTTTTTATTTCTTTTTCTTTTTTTTTTCATTATTTTCTTTTTTTTCTTTTTTTTTTTTGTCAGGCTTTTCATTTTTTTTTTTTTTTTGAGCAAGCTGCTGATGAGTTTGTTTTTTTTTTTTTTTTTTTTGGTTTTTTTTTTAGTCAGTTTTTTTTTTTTCTTTTTTATTTTCAGGGCTCTTTTTTTTTTTCAGATCTCTTTTTTTTTTTTTTTTTGGTCCCAATTTTTTTGTTTCACATGACTTTCATTGCCTTTAAGTTTCTCTGTATTTTTCTCTTTTTTCCCTTTTTTTTTTTTTTGTTTTTTTTTCCTTTGCTGTTCTAGATTTTTCACCTTCCTTTTTCCCAGTAATCCCCTTCCAGCAAGCCTCATTTTCATTTTTTCACATTATGATCTTTTTTTTTCCTTTCTTTTTTTTTTTTCTCTCAGTTTTTTTAAAGTTCACAAGATCTACAAGGTTTCATTTTTTTTTCACTGGCTTTATTCACCATCAACTCTCATCACAACTGTAAGTTACAGAGATCACACTTTCAACGCTTAGATTTCTTTTCATTTTTTTTTTTTTTTTTTTTTTTTTATGATTCTTTTTCTTTTTTTTTTACTACAAACAGTTTTTTTTTTTCTGCCCAGCTTTGCTTTTTTTTTCAGTGTTTTGAAGTTTTTTGGAGGGCTGCAGGAATGGTTTTTCAACTTACGTTTTCTTTTCTTGCCCCCCCCCTTTTCTTTTTTTTTTTTTTTCCTTTTTTTTTTTTTTTTTTTTTTTTTTTTTTTTTGGTCCTTTCATTTTTCTCCCTTTTTTCTGCTTTGCTGGGGATTTTCCTTCTTCAAGGTTTTTTTTTTTTTCAGGATTTTTTCTTTACATGTCCCCTCCTTTTTTATGGCAAACCAGGCTACTGCATAGTCTCTTTTTTTCTATTTTTTTTTTCTTTTTTCCAACAGAATCATTTTTCTCTCTCTTCTTTTCTTTTTTTTTTCCTTCTCTTTTTTTTTTCCTGACTTTTTCCTTCACTTTTCCCTCTTTTTTCTTTCTTTTCCTTCTCCTCTCTTCTTATCTGACTCTTTTTTTTTTCTTCTCTTCTCTCCGTTCCCCCTGTCTTCTTTCTTCTTTTTTTCTCCTCTTTTTCCTCTTTTTTCTTTTCCTCCCTGTTCTCCCTTTTCCCCTTCTCTCTGACTCTCCCTCCTTGGCTTTTTTCCTTTCTTTTTTTTTCTTCCTTTCCCCCTTCTCTCTTCTTTCTTCCTTTTCTCCTTCCCTTTTTTTTTTTTTTCTTTTTCCTTCCCCCCCCTCTTTTCTCCACCCGTCTCTCACCCTCCCTTACCCCCTCTCTTCACTATCTCTTTCTATCTACCTATTCCCAATCTCTCTTTCTCTCTCCCTCTCCCCTCTTCCTTTTTTCTCTTTTCTTTCTTTTTTTTTCTTTTGCTTTTTTCTCTCTTTTCCCTTTTGTCTTCTTTTTTTTCTTTCCTTCCCCTTTCTTTTCTCCTTGACTCTCCTTCCCTTCCCTTCTTTTCCTCTCCCTTTTTTTTTTTTTTTTTTTTCTCTCTGATTTTCCCTCCCTTCACTTCTCTTTTTTTTCCTTTTTCCCCTTTCAAACCTTTTCCTTCTCTCTCTCTGACTCTTTTTTTCTCTTCCTTTTTTCTTTTTTTTTTTTCTTCTTTTTTTTCTTCTCTTTTCTTTTTTCTCTCCCTTTCTTTTCTTCCTTTTTTTTCTCTCTTTTTTTCTCTCTTTTTTTTCTTTTTTTTTTTTTTTTTTCTTTTTTTCCCTTTCCTTCCCTTTTTTTTTTCCCTTTCCTTTACTCTCTTTCTTTCTCTGTGTTTTCTCTTTTTTTTCTTTCTCCTTTCCTTCCCCTCTTTCCTTTTTTCCTTCCTCCCTCTTTCTCTTTTTTCCCCCTTTTTTCCTTTTTTTTTTTCTCTCTCACTTCCTTTTTCTCTCTTTCTTTTCTCTTTTTTTTTTCCCCTTTGACCCTCTCTTTTTTCCTCTCTTCTTTCCCTCCCTTTTTTCTCTTTTTTTCTCTCCTCCCTTCCAACTTTTTCTCTTTTTTCTCTTCTTTCTTCTCTCCTCTCTTTTTTCTCTTTCTCTTCTCCCTTTTTTTCCCCTCTTTTCTTTCTCTTCCTTTTTTCCCTCTCCCTCTCTTTTTTTTTTTCTTCTCTTTTTCTCCATTTTTTTCTTTTTTCTCTCCTTCCCTTTTCCCATCCCCTTCTTTTCTCTGACTCTCTCTCCCTTTCTTTTTTTTTTCCCTTTTCTTTTTTCTCTTTTCTCTTTTCTTTCCCTCTTTTTTTTTTTTCTTTCTTTTTCTTTTTTTTTCCCTTTTCTCTTTTTTTCTTTTTCTTCTTCTCCCTTTCCCTCTCTCTCTCTCTCTTCTTTTCCTTTCACGGCCCCCACTTTTTTTTTTTCTTCTCTCCCCCCTGTCCCTCTCTTTCTTTTTCTCCTCCATTTCCGATTCTTTTTCCCTTTTTCTTTCTCTCTTTCTTTTTTTCCCTTTTTCTTCCCCCTCTCTCTGA